CATGGTGAGTTCAAGGCCAGCCTGAATTACATAGTGAAACCTTGTCTCAAAAACTTTTAAAACTTGTAAGCCGGACGTGGTGGTGTACACCTGTAATCCCAGCACTGGGGAGGCTGAGGCAGGAGGATCATTGCAAGTTTGAGACCAGCCTGGGCTACAAAGTGGGCTCAAGGCCAGCCTGAACTGCATAGCAAGACACTGTCTCCAAAAGAGAAAATTTAAAAGTTGTAAAATATACTGACATTTTAAAATGTTTAAATTGCCTTTTATTATTTAAATTGTATTCTGACTCGGCATGGTGGCATGTGCCTGTAATCCCATCACTTGGGACACAGGCAGGAGCATCGCCATGAGTTTGAGGCCAATCTGGAGTACATAGCAAGACTCTAAATAACTAATTAATTAATGTTTTTTTTTTTTGGTACCGAGAATCGAACTCACAGCGTCGCACTTGCCAGGCAGGTGCTGTGCTGCTGAGCTAAACCCCAGCCCCCACTAATTAATATATGTACATAATAATTTCTGGGTACAAGCTCTTTGTCATAATTTTCTTAATCATACCTTTTTTTTTTGGTACCAGGAATTAATCATATCCTTCAAAGAAAACAAATATGGGCTGGGGATATAGTTCAGCAGCATAACCACTTGCCTGGCAAGCCTGAGGTCATGAATTCAATTCCCAGTACCAAATGGGGTTCTTTTTTTCCTACATAGATGTCCAAGTATTCTAGGACCATTTGTTGACCTATCACTCTCCCCTCTCCCCATTAAATGCCTTCACACCTTTTTTGAAACTCCGTTGCTCACCTCTTTCCAATATAAAGTTTAGAATTTTATTTATTTATTTATTTAATTTTTGGTACTGGGTATCAAACTGCTGACCTTGCTTTTGTCGGGTAGGTGCTTGTGCCACTGAGCTCTACCCCCAGCCCTAAAGTTTAGAATTGACTTACTAATTTTTAGGAAAAGAAGAAGAGCTTGATGGAATTTGGGTTGGGAATGCATCGGCTCTTTAGATTACCTGGGGAAGAATTGATGTCCCAACAATACGGAGTCTTCCCAGTCCATGGGCATGGTACAGTATATCTCCCCACTGATTCTCTTGCCATTTAATTTCTCTCAATTTTCTTTTAGCTTTCACTGTGCAAGTCTTACAAATATTTTGTTAAACTTACCCTAGGTATTTTTTCTGATTCTAACAGTGGAAAATATTTTAAAATTTCAAATGCAGTTGTTTTTATATCAGACTTTGTGCCCTGCAATTTTGCTAAACTTCTTAGTTCTAATAGCTTATTATTACGGATTCTTTAGAAGGTTTTACATCCACAGTCATGTAGTCTGCAAATAAAGACAGCCGTACTTCTTCCTGACCTGTACCTGTTCCTTTTTCTTGTCTGCTCTGCTGTCTTGAACCTCTGATCCAGTGTTGGATAGAAGGGGTGAGATCAGAGGCCCTTACATCACTCCCAGTTTTAAGGAGAAATCATTCAACCTTTGACCCTGTCCAGGGGGCTCCTAGAGTGCAGAGCTGCACCACTGGTCCCGCTCTGCCCCCGTAGCACAGTCCCTGGATGTTCCGCTCAGAATTCCACACTAAGGGGCTGGGGATTTAGCTCAGCAGCACGGCGCCTGCCTGGCAAGTGCAAGGTCATGAGTTCGATTCCTGGTACCGGGGGAAAAAAAAAAAAACCCAATTCCACGCTGCCCCGTAGGGTTTCCTAGAGCGCTGTCCTCAGGACCACTTGTGAGTGGGGTTATACCGGTGTCCAGGCCTGGTTTCTTTCCCTTCTTTGGTCACCGGGTGACATCCTGATGAGGCCACAGACACAGGCTGAGGGAGGGGCAAGGTAACAGGGTACTTGCCTGTAGAACCTAACTGGGTGTTCAGGGCTTGCAGAGTCAGTCTCATTCGTACCGTCCTGGGTGATGATGAGGGCTGCCACGCCTGCCGACCTTACAATGCCCGGTTCATCATGCTCAGCTCAGGACTCGGATATCTGTGGCCCCCAGTCAAATGTTAAATCTCTCCCTGCCCAGTGGCACGCTAGGAGCTGCATTGAAAGAATACAGAGACAGATGTGGGGACACGTATAATCCCAGCACTCAGGCTGAGTCATGAGGATGTCAGGTTCCAAGACCACCCTGGGCAGTTTAGTGGAACTGCCTCAAAATCAGGAAAGAAGGGAGAATACAGAAGTTTCCTCTTATCTGCACAGGAACCCCTCAACTATGGATACCTGAAACCTTGGGTACACTGGCCTCTGCAATAGTCTGTTTTTTCGTATAGCCGTGATAAAGTTTAATTTATAAACAAGGCACAACAAGAGATTAACAAAAACAATAAAATAGAGCCAGGAGTGGTGGCACACACCTATATCAAGCCCGGCTACTCAGGAGGTGGGGCAAGATGATTGCAGGTTTGAAACCAGCCTGGGTAACTTAGTACCTGCCTCAAAATAAAAAGGGGTGGGGGTGTAACGCTTTGCTCTCCGGGTTCTGTCCCAAGTTCTGCAGGCAATCAATAAAACAGAACAATTATAACGATATAATTATAACAATATAATGAAAGTTACTTAAAACTTATGAGTTACGCTTTCTGGAGTTTTCCATTTAATATTTGAACCATGGCTGACCAAGTGTAACAAACTACACAACGTAAAATCACCAACATGAAACCATGGGTGGGGGAGTACATGGGGGCCCGTTTTTTCACCTGTGGTCTTGGGATGTCATGGCTGTCATTCTTTCGGCCTGACAGGGTTCCAGGGCATTTGGCCACAGGTGTTTACCATGTGCCCTTCACAAGGCACCCTTATTCTCCCACCCTCGCAGTGACCCGGTGACCCTCCACAGACGCCCTTGTGACCTGCGTCCAGTTTATTCCTCTGAAGAGCCCTGACCAGGAGTAGAGTTAGGTTTGGGTTAAGGGAGCTGGTCAGTGTGGCACTGAGGAAGCAGCACAGCAATACTCCCCAGTTACTCAGGAACTGGGGAGAAGAGGGCAGCAGGCATTGCAGGGCCAATCAGAAGGGGCAGCTGCCCAGGACCCGCAGCCAGGCAACAGGGAGCAAGAGGCCAAGTGACCCGTGGACCTGGGGTCCCGGATGTGACCAAAGCAGGTTTCCCCCAGCAGAGCTCCAGTTGGTGGATTCAGACCAAGCAGGCATGTCCCATGGGGTGACACTGACCAAGACAGGGTCACTGGGCATGCCTAGGTGGTCCACATGGGGTGAGGAGGGGTCAGGCTGCTCCTGGCTACCCCAGAGGCCCAGGTGGCCCCCAAGAGGTGGTTGCATAAAGCACACGTCTAGACCAATCACATTCAGGAACAGAGATGAACACTACACTGCATCGTGTGGTTAAACCTTGCTATGGGTAGCAGCCTAACATTCAAATGGATGTTGAGGCCTTCTAAAATGGTAGGAGTTCAATGCAGATGACATAGCTGCTTTTTTTTTTTTTTTTTTGACAGTGTCTTAGTTACTTTTCTCATTGCTGAAACACTCGCCACCCACATTCAAAGGAGGAAAGGTTTATTTAGCTCACAGTTTGTAGCTATATAATTGGCTGGCTCCAAAGCAGGGTGGCATGGCAGAGGGGCTTCACAGAGGAGAACTAGATCATGGTAAAGTAGGGCAGGCAGAAAGCAGCAGTAGCAGCAGCAAGCAAAGGCAGCAACCCTCTTTCTGTCCCGTATATTCCATCCAGGTTACCTGCCCTGAGAGTGGGCAGCACTCACACTCACCCTCAGTTTCAGCCTCACACATGTAATTCTATCATCACACACTCTAGATCCAAACACCTTGGACCCACCTGTGACTGCATGAGGCTTCGGGGAGACATCTAGATACAAGATAGGGTCTCACTGTATTTCAGGATGGCCTTGAACTCACTTTGTATTCCAGGCTGAGCTCAAACTGAAGTGCTCTTCCTGCCTCAGCCTCCCGACTGCTGGAATTACAGGTGTGCACTACCACACTTGGCTACTTGAAAGTCCTCCACATCTGCACTGTAACTCACACAGCACCCTGTCTACCACTAACACTTCTGGCACCACCCCTTTCCCTGGCTCCTGGGTCCAGTGGTGTAGTAGCCTGCCCAGCAGGCAGAACTGTGGGTGACAGCTGCTTTTGTTCTGGGCCCCACTCAAAACTGACAGCCTTTCAAGTTATTCAGAAAATGGCCCAGAGAAGAATCTGGTGAGTCCACGTTACCTCCAAAGTCAACCCTGCTGGACTTGTGCCTGTATTCATGGTAGGAAGGGCCAGATGCAGCCATTAACCTTTCACCTTGGAAAAGATCTCTTGGCACACTTAGGCCCTGGCCCTCCTAGAAACCTCACTGAATTTTACAGGACTTGCTCCCCACACTTAGGAACAAGTTCTCTGGACATTTTTTTAGTGATACTGGGAATCAAACTCAGGACCTTGTGCTTGCCAGGTGACCGGCACTTGTGCTCCTGAGCTACATCCCTGGCCCCAATGTGGACTTTTTTATTTGTTTGTTTTTGTTTTTTTGAGACAAGATCTCATTATGTAGCCCAGGCTGGCCTCAGAGTCACAGTGATCCTCCTGTCTCAGCCTCCTAAGTACTGGAATTATAGGTGTGCACCACCACACCCGGCTGTCTGCACAGTAGATTATGACAGATGATGACGGGGGAGTTGATGTAATCCCTGGTTTGAATAAAAGTAAGTATTGCTAGCCCTGCCAGCTCACAAAAGCAAACCATTTTTGATAGTCTTTACTAAAACAATGGAGGAAAAGCATTCCTCAGACCATAACTGCATGCATTCCTGCAGCAATGAAACCACATTTGGCACACAGCAGCAGTTAGAGTCACAACCTAATTAAGTTGATGACCGTCTGTTTCCTTCTCCAGGATGCATTTTGGATCAGTGCAGGCTAGATGGCTAAACTGAGTGGGAATTCGCTGGGAGTCACCAACTCTATTTTGGAAATCGCACTGAGTGGTGGTAGCACTGAACTCTGTACGCTCCGGAAAGGCAGTGCAGCTCCTGTTTACTGTTTTCTCCATTAGAGATGGGCGTTTATGTGGTTGATCTTCTTCCAGTCTTCATTTTACATTTGGTTTGCCAATTAAGTGCAATCTGTATTGTCTGTGAAACTGAGCTGCTTCATCTGTAAATTACAGGTAATGATCACAGCCCTATGGGTGATCACAGGTTGTGGTAAGGCTCAAATGAGATCATGTAAATTAAAGTACCCGGTAAACTGAGTTAGGCATAGTGGCGCCTGCCTATAATCCCAGCACCCAGAAAGCTGAGGCAGGAAGATCACTGTAAATTCAAGGCCAGCCTGAGCTAAACAGTGAAACTATGTCTCAAACAAGTAACAACAACAAAAGTACATGGTAAAGTGGAGAATCCTTTACAAGGTATAAAGAAGAACGACTGTAACTGTTACTGCTCCAACCACCCCTTTATATGGAAAAACTGAGATAACAGGCCTCATGTTTCTGATGGGGGGAGGGGGTGTGGGCGTTTTTTTGGTACCTGGAATTGAACTCAGCATCTTGTGCTTGCCAGGCAGGCACTGTGCTGCTAAGCTATATCCCTGGCTGTCATGTTTCTGTTTCAATCAAGGGTCTTTTTATTCTTTTTTGTTGTTATAAGTACTATAAGTACTATAGTTGGAAATACAAAACAAAACTAAAAAAAAAAAGAAGAAGAAGAGGAGCTCCCAGAAGTTCTTCAAAGGAATGGATCAGAATTGCCAGGGATGAAAGCCAGGCATGGTGGTGCAGGTCTGTAATCCCAGCACTTAGGAGGCTGAGGCAGGAGGATTTCGAGGTTGAGACCAGCCTGGGCTACAGAGTCAGCTCGAGGCCAGCCTGAACTACATAGTGAGATCCTGTCTCAAAAAAAAAAAAAAAAAAAAAAAAAAAGAATTGCAAGGGGTAGTTGTCACCTTGATGCACCGGTCTTGTCCCCCTCATGACAGAGGACATCTGCCCCTTACTGCTGAACGTATTTCTGGCTGACAGCCCTCCACTGTCAGCTCTCTTTAGAAAGTGCCAGGAAGTGAGCCAGGTGTGGTGGTGCATGTCTGTAATCCCAGCACTCAGGAAGCTGAGGCAGAAAGATCATAGAGAGTTCAAGGCCAGCCTTGGCTCCGTACTGAGTTCAAGACCAGCCTGGACTACATAGTGAGACCCTGTCTCAAAAAAAAAAAAAATGGAGATTGCCCTGAAGTGTCGAGAGAAGAGAAGGTCCTCACCCAAGGTGGCGCCCATCTCTGGGGACAGCGTGCATTCCTGTGACTGGGTGAGGCTGGGGTGTAAGGCCTAGCCAGACGTTCCATGCAGGCCGCCCCAGCCTCTCCCGGGGCTCAGCTGAGGTGCTGTCCAG